GATTGAAGGCTATCGCTAAGCTGCAACAGATTTTATCATTGATATTAATTTCTTAATTAATTAAAATATTCTTTTTATAACTCAGGCATATTTTATTAAGTTTTTTATTGTTTATATCGGCATGAAAAGTATGTGACTTTTGTTATGGATATTTCTGTTACCAACTTCCGTCGAGCACTGCAGTATATTATTACATTGCCTTCCAATCAGCAAATTTCGGTCCCAAGCTCGGTTCGCTCAACCTATTATTAGATTTACTGAGTTCCGTACTGAACTGCTGAATTCTCAAAACCTTGGAATATCCACTCCGTCACTTTCAATACACGTTGAAAGAAATAAAAAATAATATTCGCAAGCGGCAATTGCTAACGAAATCTTTGTTGAAATTACAATACATACAGTACAGTTTCTACTCCACACATTGGCGTCGTCGAGATATTCCGCAATAGTGTAATATGCTTTAACCATAAGTAGACTTTTAATTTTACGGTTAAATTGATCAAGCGGTAGACTTAATATGGGATTATATTATAATAATATGGGATTTTATTATACATGCGCACACCATGCCCCATGAACGACCTATTCACTTTTTGTAGGCGAAACAATGGCGTAGTAAGTTTTTCCTTATTTCTAGTGTTTAATTTATGTCTGCCACTATTCTTTAGGTAAAAATTAAGATTATGACGAATATACAAAACATTACAATAAATGTATTGAGAAGCAACAGTGAGTATATCAATCTCTTTAAAAATATCTCTGAGCGAACTCCGGGCTCCGATATTAAAGATTGCTCGGACAGCTCTTTTTTGTAGAATTAATATAGAATTCATATCGGATGCACTACCCCACAACAAAATGCCGTATGACGAGATGGTGTGAAAATAGCTGAAGTAAACAAGTCTGGCAGTGTCAATGTCTGTTAGCTGCCTAACCCTTCTAATCGTAAAAACCGCGGAGCTTAGCCTATTCACAAGAGATGATACATGGGGACTCCACTGGAGCTTTGAATCTACTGTAATTCCAGAAATACAGCAGACTCAACTGGATTAATGGGTACTTTATTTAATATTAAACTAAAACTTTGCCGTCTTATACTGGGAAGGGTAAAAATAACACATCTAGTTTTTTTGGCATTTAACACCATATTATTAATAGTAAACCAGTGGAGGATATGCGAAAGTGCACTATTCACCTAGTCATAATTTCATTTCGATCAACCTTAACAATTAACGATATATCGTCAGCAAACAGTACAACATTACACAACTCACTGGCATAAAAGGGGAGATCATTAATATATACTCAAAATAATAATGGGCCCAAGATTGTTCCTTGTGGGACACCCATTTTCATAGGGGTCCCAGCGGAATTAATATCATTTATTGATACTTTTTGGATTCTTATAATTATACTATATATAATTATAAAGCTATTATAATAATTATCAAATTATAACAATCACTACACCGATGACAACTATAGCTAGCGTTATGTAAAACTTCAAAGCAATTTTGCTAATTACGTCTGAAGAGCTTGTACATACATTTTATTGTTATGTACATATGTTTTATTGTTTATGTGTATTTGTTGCTATGCCCTGGCTTTCTGAAGTAAGTGCACATGCATTTCAGATGTATAATAATACAAGAAGTATCGCGGCTCTAGATTCAGCTTTTTTAAACTTAATTTCTAGTGAACAAAGCAAAGAGAAAACGAAGTTCCTACTTATACCAAGTACAAGTCCCGTAATAACTGACGGCAAGCAATACAATGCGCTTTTATACGTTTCCATTTTTTATAGTAATTTTTTCGTAAAAGGGAAACGTCTGGTAACTCACAACGAACTTCGCCCTCGTTAGATCATTAGTCGGATCATTTGCCAAAGATCTGTTCATTTATTCACGGCCATGGCGCAAACTAATATAAACCTTGACATTAGACCACGGAATGTACAAAAATGTTTTGGTGTATGTGGGATAGGCCTACATGCCAGAGTTGACTAAAACGGACTGAAATGATGAAGATGTTATAAAGTATGATAAAAACAATTTCTCCAACGTAGCCGTAGCGCTTTAAATTGACAAAGTGTTGGTAGCGGTTGGATAGTTCTAAAATACTTAAGAAAGTAGATTGATTCATATGCGCTACAGTTAAACATATTATTTTTTGAAATTCATCAAATCTGATCCTATTTAATTTGACTTTACGTCATTTATATATTTAAATTTATTTTAGATTTGATTCAGTCGTCGATATTGACTAAAACTGTTCTTATTTATTTTAATTATCTAATTCATACTCAAGACGAGGGTGACGGTCCTTTAGCAGCTATGGTTTGTACAGTGTGATTTTATAGACGACGGACATATTAACAGAGAATATGCAGAATTTTATTCTCAATCTGAATCTGGTACGTACCTATGACCTCATTTCTTTTGCAAATATTCTTTTTAATTTTTTCAAACATTATGGACATCTTAAGAAATTTCTGCCTAGCCGTCTCAATACAATAACCTATTGACAAGCACTAAAACTTTTTGCTGAACGCATAATTACTAAACCGCTATTCAATAGGGAGACTAATCTTAACGGGATAAACAAACAAAATTCAAACAAATGTTTGAATTGATATTTTTTTCGTTATTCCTTGTGAAAATTAAATATCATATTTTTTAAATTATGGAATGCTCAATTAACATTATGTCAAAGTATTACCTTCGTCTAAAAAATTACCTTGCATAATATATTTTTTAAGTATTGAAACTGCTCTACTAAAGTAATGCGCTCTAATTTTATTACAAAATAAGCATGATAAAGACATTCCAACAAACCGGTACTAGCACCAATTAATGTATAATTTATGCCAAATTTAAATAATTAATCAATCGTTTAACAATTCGTAGTATGAATAACCGTTCATTAGATGTCGTTGATAAAAGTTCTCATTATTCTGCTTCCTCCCACTCAAGTTTATAGTCCAAATTGCGGTGAAAACGTTCTAGAAACGATTTGAATTTTGTTTGTCTTCCTAATAGAGCTTTCTGGAATCAACACTCAAATTACGATCGTCTCTTTAAAAGAAAGTTCCGGAATAAGAACTTTCTTTGAATCTACACTTATCATTTTAAATTAAATTTAGTACATCGTTTAGACTAACATTCATTAGAATGTGAAGTAACTCTTTTCTTAAAATAACGAATGATCAATAATTTAGAGAAAATCTTTTAACATTATCTCATTCTATGCAATTGTCTTCAATGACGTTTAATAATATAGATGACACATGTCCATACTGCGCGGCTTATATCATTTATTTGTATCCCAAGCTTTCATGTGTAAGACATTCTTCTCTTCAAAGCGTATTAATGAAATATCCATAGAGCGACTAACGTCATATTTATTTTTTATCTACGGTAATGTCAAAAACATATACATATGTATAATGTATGGAAGTTTAATGTAGTTATTAGTAGAACTTTGTTATATATAATATGAAGATAAACCAGTAGTGTATCTTTGTAATATGTTGACAAAAATATATTTAAAAATATCTATCGGTTTATCTGAGATTCGCACCGGCTCCATCACATCCCACAAAGTGGGCATTATATTGCGTAGGTACATAATTATTCTCTTGCCGTTATTTAGCGATTCATATAAATTCTGCAGAATTTATTATTTGTGTTAAATTTATTTAATAGTTTTAGTTAGTACATTATAAAATTTTAATAACTTGCTCATAAAATTACGATCAATGGTTTTCGGAATCAGGTGGGATGGTAGTTTAGAGTTCTGATATACGGACTCTATGATGACTGATTAGCAAGTGCCAATTTTGTCCAATATTACTTCGACTTTCGTTTATGTTTCTTAATTTTCATCAGTTTCTGTTGTATAATTTAATTTTTAATAACAGATTGAATACCTTCTATGCAAATTTTATCTCTTTCTTTCGAGCTTTAACAATAATTCCTTTTTCGTAGTAGAAGTGAATAAAGTAACACGTACTATTCGTTCTTTGTTAATAAATTATAATTAATAATAAATCACTACTTTTAATGTCTAACAAACACATGTAATATTTCATCTACCTGCCAGTATTATAGTCCCTAACTTTTAATCACCATGGAACCAATCAAGGCATCACTGTCACCGTGACAGAACAGTTCAACGCACGCATGAATGAATTGCAATAGGAGTTACAGAATACTAGCCCAAATGTAGCCTCCACATCCGCATTATTATCTGAGTGTTCATCTTTTAAATAATTTATCTTGGCCGCCCTTGAGAACCTGCAAAAGCAGATAGAGTTACTTGGAAGAGAGTTTGGCTGCCTGGAGATGAAAGGCCGACATAAAACAGTGTTGCCTCGTGGGTTCCCCGAGGATAAGTTTGAGGTCACATCTAAACTGGTTTCCTCCCTTGTGATGGGCAAACTAAAGGTCTCCGTTTCCCAAACTTATTTTGGCCGCAGTCATAGCGTTAAATGGAATAGATCAGGAAAAATCCAAGAGAGATCTGGTTCATTTCGTGATGTTCTAGTTCATGGCCAACCAAGTTTCGTTTTCGAAAAAGTAAACTAAAAGGCGTTGGGGTCGCAATGTCCAATTTTTTAACTAAACATCGTCACATAGAGTTCATGAAAGCCAAATTGGAGCATGGATAGTCATAACCATGGGTGATTACTTTGAATAACAAAAATAAAAAGTTTTAAAAAAATACTCTTAAATTATTTCATACAAAACGGCAATTTCATAGTAAAGACCTAATATTAGAGCACTTTTCCATAAATCAAAAGTGATTTGCTATGTTCGTTAAGCCCCTCACCTGAATGTTACGTCGCGCGTCGCTCCGATTGGCAAGGCTCCTTGTTACATAAAAAAATCACCTAATGGACCTAACAAAGATAAATTTAAAAAGGGGATTTAAAAACAAAGCTAATGATGATTCTTTGCCATGTCCTAAAGATTTATTAAAGTTTCCATATTTAATAACTATAAGACACTGGTGCAGTTTGTAAACTCTTTATTTTCATCAACATAGAGCTTACTGGCATATGCCTTACAAAATTTACTTAGTACAACTTCGATAAAATAGTGAGAGTCGCGGAGGAATACGATGCACACGTCCTTCTGATACGACGCGTGCGCACCGACTGGCGACGGCGGGCCCCCGGCAGGGCCTCCTGCCGGGCGGCCGGGACTCAAGGCCACGCGCCCCGAGCGGCCAACGCCTACCTAATGTTATAAAACCCCCGCGCGTTACACTCTCCCCCTCTAACCCGAACGATGCGTCCCCGCGATCGGGTTAGCTTTACGCGGTCGCCCTCTTTTACGTTTTTCCTGGACAGGAGCTTGGATACGGCCAACGAAGGGAGTCATTGCAGAAACGTGAAACTTCCCTAATGACACGCTATCACTAACCCGCTCTAATTCATACGTCGTCGCGCTGAGCACCTTCCTAACTCGATAAGGACCGTCGCGTCGCGAAATGAACTTAGGCGTCTGTCCCTTGCCCGCATCATTGGGTCCTCGCGTCTTGAGCAGCACCAGGTCCTCCACTTGATAATCGGGAGCTGGTCGGCGGTTCTCATCAACGTACTTCTTCTGCATCGCCTGTGCTTTTTCGTAAACGTCCCGAACATCCCAAAGGACCATGGAAAGCTTTCTCAGATAAGGCGTTATATTGGTTATAAAGCTATCGTTATCAATTATTGTTTGCATCTCCGATTGAACATCGGCCGGCGCTCATATTTCACGTCCAAAGTTCAGATAAGCTGGTGAATAACCCGTACCTGAGGTAATTGCGGAATTCATAGCGAAACGGATCGCTGGTAGATGAATATCCCAAGTTGTATGGTCTCTTCCCACGAGAATGGCGAGTTGTGGCTTCAAGTCTCGATTTTTCTCTCCACAGGGTTAGCCTCCGGGTGATAATACGACGTCAGAGCTTGGGTAATACCCATAACATGACAGGTTTGTTGCATCACCTCGCTTATAAATTGGATACCATTGTCGCTTACGAGCCTCCTCGGCACTCCAAACCGTAGAAACACTTCTGAAACTAAAACCTTCGCGCATTCCTCGCTAGTGGCGGATGCGAGCGCGAATAACCCAACCCATCGGGTACAGGTGTCTTCAACTATCAAGATCCACTTGTTACCGTTCGCGGTCTGTGGAAGGGAACCGAATAAATCCACAGCCAAGGATTCGAAACGGCGCGCTGAAACTGGTGTTTGTAATAACCCAGCAGGCTTTCTTGTATCCACCTTATACTTCTGACACGGCGCACAATTCTTAATATAATTCGAAATATAAGCCCGCATTCCTGGCCAATAATACTTGCCAGTGATTCGTAGTAGTGTGCGTTCTACGCCGAAATGACCGGCCGTGGGTGCATCGTGATATTTAGCCAAAACATCTTTCCGTTCCTGTTCTGGCACTACTAGACTCGCGTCATCGGAATCTCCATTTTCGGGACCGTAACGGAAAAGAATACCGTCATTAAGTACGTAACCTTTGTCAACCCACGCCTTTCCTCTCGATATATCATCAGACTCTATTGCCTCGATGATCTTGAGTACTTCAGGTTCCGCCACCTGACCCTCTCGAACGTCTTTGGGGCTGCGTGAAGGCATGTCGACCACAGCTAAACAGAGATCGCAACCTGTGTCTGCTATGACGTTACTTCTACCAGGAGTATATTCAATCTTCAGGTCATACTCTTGTAGGCAGAGAGCCCACCTTGCCAGGCGACCACTTGGGCTTTTCATGCTCATGAGCCATCTGAGCGGCTGGTGGTCCGATCTAACCACTACCTCAGCTCCGTCAATATAGCCACGAAATTTGGAAACAGCCCACACTACGGCTAGAGCTTCCCTCTCCGTCGTGCTGTAGTTCCGTTCTGCGGGAGTAAGCAGGCAGCTGGCGTACCCGACGGGACGTTCATCATTTCCCTCCCCCTGGAGTAGAGCCGCGCCCAGGGCATAGCCACTGCTATCAGTTCGAAGGACGAAAGGTTTCGTCTCGTCGGCCTGACGCAATATTGGTGTCGAAACGAGAAGGGACTTTATGTGCTCAAAAGCTTTCTGTTGTTCGGGCCGCCACTGCCAAACACTTGCCTTCTTTAATAGCAATGTCAGCGGCTTAGCGACCTCCGAATAATTAGGGACAAAACGTCTGAACCAGCTGGAGGTCTGTAAGAAACACTTGAGGTGCTTAACATTTTCAGGGGTGGACATGTTTGCAATAGCAGAAATCTTCTCGGGGTCTACGTGTATACCGCCTGGTACGATCACATGTCCCAAGAATTTCACCGACCTCTTAGCGAAATGGGACTTCTCGCGATTCACTCGTAGTTTAAACATCGCCAGACGATCAAATACGGCACCAAGATCTTCCAAGTGCTTCTCGAACGAACCCTCAGATAAAATCAGTAAATCGTCCAAGTAAGCTACTATAAGAACGCCAGGCAAGTTGGATTTGAATCGATCAATCAACCTCTGGAATGTGGCTCCAGAATTTCGGAGGCCCGTGGCCATTCTTTTAAACCTGTATGTCCCTTGGGGCGTGATGAAGGCCGTTTTATCTCTGTCGTCGGGATCCACGCTGACCTGGAAATAACCGGAACGAAGATCACAAGACGTCATGAATCTTGAAGTTTTAGCGGCGTGGAGGACGTCTTCAATCCTAGGGAGCGGGTAGCGGTCAGGCTCGGTGACCGCGTTGAGTTTGCGATAATCAACGCAAAGTCTATAACTGCCGTCCTTCTTCTTGACCAAGACAACATTTGAGGCCCATGGTGACTCGCACTCCCTGCTCGATGACATCGGCATCGAGCAACCTTTGTAGCTCGGTTTCAAGTGCTTCCCTCTTCGGCGGGGATAATCTATAGGGTGGAGACGCCAGAGGCTCCTGGTTTTCACTTACCCTAATTTTATGCGTGTTGAATTCCGTAGGAGGTCCTTCAGTGGCGAACTGGTCCTTTCTCCCTCGCAGAAATTTGTTGAATGTGGCCCTCTGATCCGATGACAACTCCGTGCTTTCATTTTCACGCAGGGAGACGTCCGAGACATCTACTTGCATCAACTCGCTGTTTAAAACAAACGACTTCGCGAAAGGCAACTTCTTATCCGGAACATCTGAAAAAAAGTATGACTCCTGGCCTATGTCCAACACTATCCCAGCCCTAGCGATGAAATCGCGTCCTAATAACGTACGGGTGTTGTCCCCGGGAAACACCATGAACTCCGTAATAATTTCTTTATCCCCTAATTTAACTGGTACGATACCAGTTGCCACGATCCTACTCTGACCTGAACCGTCCGCGAGTCTAATTGTGCGTTCCGTATTACTAAATTGAACACCACTATCCCGTAATATTGAATAAAGCATCGGGCTAGCTATACAGTGTGTAGCTCCCGTATCGACAATGGCTACCCCTTGCTTACCTACTACACGTATATTGACCATCGGTTGAGAATTAGCGATGGGGTCATCGGCCGTCACCGTGCTAAAATCCGACGACTTGGCAGAATCACCACTAGAACATTTCTCGCATCTCGACCTAATCACGCCCGGTTGGCCGCATCCATAGCAACGTATCGGGTTAGACTCTTTCTTATCACTCGACCGTTCCATATTGCGACACGAATTCGAGACGTGCCCGTAAACTTTACAACGCGAACACCGGACGCGTCTACGATTTTCGTTCGAGTTCGGAGTGAGTTTCGCACCGATGGTACCGTTCGAGTCCGGAGCGAGTTTCACACCGATGGTACCGTTCGAGTTCGTGGAAGCGCTGAGCTCGCGATCGTTACTCGAAGTCTATCGCGACGGAAGTTTTATTTCCTCGATAGCTTCCTCGGTGACTCTCACTTTCTCAGACAAATGTTCAAGACTAATAATACTGTCACGTGCTAATCGTTTCTTAATATGACGGTGCAATAGTCCGTAAATTATGTCGATTTGCATTGTCTCGGGTACATTATACGGTAACCTCGCGATTATCGCTCGCACTTTAGCCACAAAAACTTCACCACGTTCATCACCCTGTTGTTCCGCGGCGAATATTTCTCGCAGCACTTTGTAGGCGGGCGGCGGGCTGCCGTACATGGTGCGTAGTCGCACCACGGCTTCCGACCACGACAACACGCCGTTGCGGGTTCCTCGCCACCACGCAGCTGCATTTCCCTCTAACAACATGGGAAATCCCCGTAGTGCGTGCTCGTCCGACACGTCGGCGCACTCTTTATATACTTGAACCGCTTCTATAAATGCCTCCACAGTCTCCGCGTCGCGTGCTTCCCCGGTGAACCTCGCCGTACACCTCGAGAAGTTTCCTCCGGGCGCGGCGGACGTACTCGCAACGGGGCTCGAAGCAGTAGGCGTCGACTCCGTTGCAAGGACCTCATGGTCTCTATGAGAATTCTGTTGTTCTCCGCCTGGGTTCTCACGAAGGTTTCCATAACGGTAGCTAAGATTTTCTCCATCCCCACCGGTGCACCAGACTAGGCGCAAGCGCCGGCGGGGGGAAACGCAGGAACGGCGCCGCCATCGGCGCGCGATTCGACCGCTGAGTCTTCGTATTCCGGATCACTGCTATCGCTTCTCTCCTCTCGCATCCCATGTTTACTTTGTGTAGTAACACGCGTTGTTCTGGGCATGTTTTATGTAGATCTTGCGGGTCGTGGCTCTCGCTTGGGCGTCCACAATCACGCCCTATGTCGCACGTTGGGATGCTACTAATAGGCTTACTTATGCCGCAAGTTGGGTGCCACTATAAGACACTGGTGCAGTTTGTAAACTCTTTATTTTCATCAACATAGAGCTTACTGGCATATGCCTTACAAAATTTACTTAGTACAACTTCGATAAAATAGTGAGAGTCACGGAGGAATACGATGCACACGTCCTTCTGATACGACGCGTGCGCACCGACTGGCGACGGGCCCCCGGCAGGGCCTCCTGCCGGGCGGCCGGGACTCAAGACCACGCGCCCCGAGCGGCCAACGCCTACCTAATGTTATAAAACCCCCGCGCGTTACATAACTTAATATTTAATAACTGAATATAATAATTAGATATAAACTTCACGCTGTCCCCAACTAATAAAAAACGCAAATTAATCGCGATAAATCCTTCCCGTAAAGAGACCATGATCGACAAACAGTCCAACCAGAACGTAAAAGTTCCGTTTAGAGACATCAGTCTTTATAATACAGTTGCATTCTTCCCGCATATTTGCTGAAGCATAATAGACTGCCGCCCGTTTTAATGCCACAATAATTTTCAATATGCGTCGCCCATATCAAGACGGGTTTTCATAGGTTAATTGAAACTCTGCTTAGAGTCGGATTAATTTTCCCGTATAACAGAGACTATAACCGACAAAATAACTGGAAACCAAAAATAACTCTAACATACTAATATAAAATTTCGTTCATACAACCGTATCAAATCACTGGGTTTTAAATTCATCCCTTCATTTAATTTGCTTTCTTTAATGTATGTTTTTTATCTTTTTGTTATCTTTTGTTATAACACAAAAACGGTACACTTTTATCGTAGTGGAAATGAAATAATTTAGTGTTATCATGAATCTACTTTAATTACGACTTATGTTATTAGCTACAAATGTATACAATGTGATTGACCGTATGTTTACTATTCCTGATCTGTTCATCAATCAAGATTGTAAGCGGAGAAAATCAAAAATAACTTTTCTGTTTCAAAATGTAAAGCAACCCACAGATTCCACTGGAAGAATCACTGCAGTCTTCTTGCTTTTTCGGGGGTGCCCTATCCTATCGGATGTCGGCTAACCACCATACGGAACTCTTCTCTATTCTGCGCCAATCTACAAAGACTGACGGCGTCCTTGCTGTCTGTCCATTTTTTCAAATTGTCACTCCATGTTATTCATCTTCGTCCCCTTCCTCATTTTTCTTCTATAGTTCCTTCAATTATATTTTTCATAATTTTATATTTCTCATGTCTGATTCCAATACAAATTGTTTATTAATCTGATATCTTTACTATCTTCTTCAGTTTTCTTTAAAATTTGCATCAATTTTCCGTATTTAACGCTGTCAAAAGCTTTTTCAAAATCTATAAAGCATGCTTACACATCTTTGTTAAATTCTCGACACTTTTGTGTCAGTCTTGTTCCTCTCTTGTTCCTAATCCATTGCGGAAACCAAATGGCGTGTTTGATACATATTTATCAATTTTGTTGTATATGTTTAGGCATGACTCATTAAGCTGTGATCACCGCATCTCTTTGCATTAGACTTTTTTGGAATTAGAAGAAAGAAGGATTTAAGCAAGTCGTTCGGGATCTTTCCCGTATCAAAAATTTCATTGTAAAGATTAATTAATAACTGCAAACTATCGGTATCTAGTAGTAATTTCAACATTTCTGCAGGCTTTCCACCTGGGCCGACCGCTTTTCCGTTCAATTAATGGCTTTTTCTACTTCCTCTTTAAGTATGGAGGGTCCTTCCAGTTGATATTCATGTTAATAACTTTTGCCATGTGAGTTTACCATCTCTCTCTCATCCCTAAACAGATCTTTTATATATTTTTCCCAGGCCTTCCATTGTTACTCTTGATCTATAATTAATACATTTTCTGCATTTATTACATTTCCACCCAATTCTTTTTTTTTATGTGAAAAGTTGCCAAGCAAGCAGACGGTTCAACTGATGTTAAGTGAATACCGCCGCCCATGGACATGTGCTACATCCGAGGGTTTGCAGATGCGTTGACAACCTTTTGAACATTGGGCTCCGGCTACCTCACTCACCAGACGAACCGATAAAGTATTATACTTCCGTAACGTATCTTGCAAGCTCCTTCCATATCATAATTCCAACTCCATGGTGATGTTCTTTCGCGGCAGGCTTTCCAGAGTCGTACATTATTGTATCGTCCTTATCGATTTTTCCATTAAACGACCATTTAATCTCACTCAATCTCAAGATATCTAGGTTTAGTCTTTTCATTACTTGAATGGTATTCTCGATTTTAACAGCATTAATAAGGCTCCTTACATTCCATGTTAGCTACATCTTCACTTATTGGTTCTTTAATTTCATGTTGATCATATTTTATTCTTGTTCTTCTTCCTCGGTAATATATTCCACATCTGAGAGCCCTGTACTCCCACGACGGCGGGTGCTAGCTAGTTCACAAGGAAAATAACTCCGGGTGTTATTTTTAGTGATGTTGTTTTATGCAGTAGCACCCTTCGTCTTTCTGCACTGTTGGTTTCGAGGTAACTTAGACCTCAAGGCTTGCTAGGCCTCTTCCAACCGGTGTGAGCGGGTTAGGGGAATGGTTATCCCGCCTTTTACTCGATCGTTAGAGTCCCGTTGGTTCTCTAGCAGGGGGTATCACGGCGTCCTTTTGGTAGCCGCCGCCATCCAGCGCGTGCAGGTGGGGTTGACATTTCGGTCGGTTAGATGTTGTTACATCAGCTGTGAAAATTTCAACTGTCTTACTATCACGGATCATGAGATACATGCGGGTAACAGATGGACAGGACAGATAAACAGACAGACAGTGAAGTCTCCGCGAAGTCCTTTGGGTACTCTAAAAATTAAAACCTTTAACTAACTCTACTACTTCTTTTCATAGATGTTCTATTAAATTAATTTCAAAATAAATTTAAATACTAGATGATATATAATAGATCTTCTACTTTAAACGAGCAATATATATAAAATAAAATATATAAATAAACAGAATCTCGGAAACGGCTCTAGTTTCGGCTATCCCAATTTTCATTCATTTTTATCAGTAAATTTCGCCGGAAAAAAAAAGTTATAATAGCTCCGTCGGTAATCGGGCGGCCCCGGAACATAAGGCCGTGGTTCATGTGACGATCATTTACACATTTTTTTTTTACTTTTTTCGATTCCAGATCATTGCTTTCTTTTTTTATATTTTGTCGGTCCATATGATTTTGTTATTTTTTCCCTTCTTTTTAAAGTTCTTTCTTTTGTGAAAAACACCAGTTCATATTTTCTTATTATTACGTCGGTAAGATCGAAAAATATTATGTATATTTCATTACTCAGTAATTTGTATCTACATGTAATTCCCAAAATACATGATTTATCAAAAAAAAAAAAAAAACAAACCGAGCAATGTCCTGCAAGTACTTTATTATATAAGACACAAACTTCCTAAAATTTGATGTATTTTAACAATTGATTTGTTTGATACCTGTTAGGAATTGACGTTGTAATTTTGATTGATTAATATTCAATCAAAATTACTATCTTACTATCTGATCAGTTATGTGCTTTGTGTCCGTGAAAGCTATTAAGGCATCACAGTGTTGTGCATGCTCGTTATTATCGGAAGACAACGTTCTCATTTGATGCGTTGGTTAGACATGCTTTAGCTCAACAGATTCCAATATCGAGGATAATAATTTGATGTAATTTAAATTATGGCTACATTCCAATGATGTTTTTGTAGATTTGATTTTGATTTTGATTTTTGTGATCTTTATATATATAATTTTTTATATATCACTGAACTCTCCCTAAACAGTTCATCCGAATTTAATGATTTTTTTTGTATCTTCAGCTAGATTCGAGAATGGTTTACATTCACAATTAGGTTTAATACAATATTGTTTTTTTTTTAATTTTTTCTTTATAAGTTGTTGTCGGATTTAAGTCGTGTGTTAAGAACAGGACAAAGTTTGTCGGTCCGCTAGTGTAAATATAATTTTTTGTTGTCTTGCTTCATGGTGATCTGTGAAATGATCATGATAATATCTTTTTTAGTTATCGTTTTAGTGTGCATTCTGTGACAGTGGTTATTTCTTGAAAAAAATAACAAATAAGTGAATATTATTTAATGTGCTTTATTTATAGTACAGTTCCCAAAAAGCGTTTACTCATGTTCTTCTTAAACTTTTGTTTTTCATACGAGCCGCACATAATTATCTAATCACTGGTGGGTAGCCACAAGTAGATATGTAGATACTTTTAGACTTCACGTGAAGCATGCTGGTTTTTTTTTTATGAGAAAAGTTACCAAACGAACAGCCGTTTCACCTGATGTTAAGTGAATACCGCAGCCCATGAACATCTGCTACACCCGAGGGTGCGTTGACAACCTTTTGAAAATTGAGCTCCGGCTACCTCACCCACCAGACGAATCGCGAAAGTATTTGTCATACTTCCACTTTACGCTGGTCTTCTGAGGGACGTACTGCCCATTCGTGTAACAGCCGAGGCTGCTGCGTGGCCCTACCAAACTTAAGCTGGTGTAATATTTGGATCATTCTGTTGTATTTTTGTATGGTTTCACATATTTTGTACACTATAGTACGAAAATTTCTCATTAAAAAAAATACATGAGAGTTTCAATTCAAGTAACACCGTGTTTCATCGTCGAATTCAGTAACTAAACATGGAAGAGAAGGCGAGCGACGTTATTTTAATTGGCTGTATAGGAATTACTCATAATTCTATATAAAATCGTCAGGTTAGATAATATTGAATGAAGCCAGGTGGTAGGAAAACTCAAAATCGTCACATAAAGGACATTAAATGTTTTCTACTACGACACTACGTCCATCGGTTCGTGGACCACTCGAAATCTTCT